AGCGTTGCAAAATTAACCTAACGGGTCATCACAAGCACTAAAATAAGACGGAATGGAAAGTACTAGTCTTTTATATGTAGCAAAATTCAGTATTATTTCTTGACGAATTGTATTCAATTATATATTTATATGTACTAACTTGTGATATAAAATGCACGTCTTGCTGTTGTCATGGTGGTTTTTTGGTGTAAAGCAGTTCCTTAGGGCACATAACTCTGAGACCTCAATGCGCCTGGAATCCATGCAGCGGAGAGGACTCAAGGTTTCTTCTTCAGGAAGAGAATCTCGGGCTCACCCTCACGGGGCCCATCTTTGTTGTAAGGCCACTGACTTTCTACAGGGTGGCCACTGAGACTGGTATCTGAGGGGAACACACAATCAGTGGATAATTCCTATTTGTCGAGTAAGGCAATCTGCAGTAGACCCTGCGCAACCCCGCACGTCTCTGCTGAGTATGCCAAATGGAAAGGCGCCACCATCCTCCAGCCCTGAGCCATTCCTGCAACCAGCCAAGGAGATGATTCTGAGAAGATCAGGATCCCACAGGGTGACTACTGTACAATGACTTGCTTCCTGGGAAGGGGCTGGCTTGTTCAGTGCTTGCTGTAAAGGCTGCCAAGTACCCTGCCCTGAGCTCCTGGGCTGTTGCACCATCCACTGTGTGCACAGCCACCATCTGGGCCCGCCAGGTCAAACTGCAGCATTCAGGTAGAGGGCAACTTGTACCGTGCTGCGTTCCCACTTCTTGCTGGCCTGTGAGTAAAAAACTCTATGCTCTGATGCACTGAATTTCACTGTGTTACTTTCAGCACAGAGAGTTGCGGCAAACCCATTCAAATTCCTGGCTTGCTTAGCCATCAACTTTGGAATCTTGTTACTCCTGGCCATTTTCTATGAATGGTGTCAGGATTCAAACTCACAAGCGTCTGATTCCAGTATCTGCGTTCTTTTCGGGACACCTCATTGTTACATTATCAAAGAAAGTATTATTTCCTCTGTGCCTCAGCAGCCGTCAAGATAAAAACCACAGAGTGTAAGCCAAACTACTTCCCTCTTCCGGGCTAAGTTAGGCTTGCAGTTTCTCTTGGCATAACACGTGCTCCTGCTGCCACCTACCGGCAGCCTCACACATCCTGCTATTTCTTCGCAAACTCAATCTTTGCGAAGGAGAAGCCATCTGGCTCTTTAAAAACCTTCCAAACAAACAAACAAACAACAAACTCAATGCACACAACCAGCTGGTAAACCTTCCCCAAAAGTTGGTAGAGCTATAAGGGAAAAGTAATTCCCATATACCTCCCCTAGGGACAAATCTTTTTCTCCTTCCAAGCTGCTCTCAATTTCATCAGATTTCACCTGCCTCCACGTATTGAAAGAGAGGACAGATTCGGTTATCCACACCATCTAAATTTGAAGGGTGGTCTCCTGCAAAAGTGGGGAATTCCCTGGCCCTAGCACTTAACACTGACCACCGCATCACTAACAAAGCAGTGGGTAACAGTGCCTTGACCAAGAAGAGTCTAGGTGGCTGGCAAAGCTTGGCTTGTTTTCCTCAGAGAGGGCGGGGCCCAGGGCAATCAGGCACATCTTGAACCTTAACTCTGGGCAGCTAGGAGCACTGGGGGAATCCATTCCCTTTTCCAAGGACATCCATCCATAACACTTCGCCCTGCCTCCCAACACCCACCCTACAGGATATCATGACTTATCATCTAGGTGGGTGGTTGGATTTTTGCTTTTCTTTGTTTCCCTTTCCTTGACAAAATGGGCAACAACCCTGCCCGGGGGTGGGGGAGTTTATTTCTGACTATTGGGAAGAAAGAAAGGAGGAATTGTTGTCACGACAATTAGGAGCTCATCAAAGCTTCATTTTGCTCATCAGCCATCACTGCCCTCCGTCCTGCACCCCCGCATGTTCCTCTAGTTCAATGCCCGCCTAATGAATAACTCCTAGGAACAAAAGAGCCTTTCAGGCTGGCGCACGTAATTATTAGAGGAGCCTTGCATAACTGTCACAGACTACTCATGTTTTCAGGCCTGTCTCTAAATTTGGTTATTCACAACCTTTATAGCTCAATATTATTGCCTAACTGTGATCATTTTCTAATTATCCTAATAATACCTATTAAATAATTCCCATTAAATCACTTGAACCAGAGCGGTACAAGCCAGCTCAAATACAACTTAACCTAATAAGCATTGGTCATTCATTAAGCACCAAGGCAATCTTTTAAAGGGGCTGAATAGAATATTAAACTGCAAAGGAATATTGTTATTGCACAAATGTTATTACAAGTTGGAGTGTATTAATTTCGATGCCTGGTTTGCACATCTTCCATTTGGTTTCCTTTGGGGCCGCTCCCCTTGACTCGACTCTTCCAGGCTCCAGTCCCACGTTGATCTGCATCTGTCACCCACACAAGGACAATCAAGGGAGGGAAAGGCCCATGAAGGGAACAGGGGAATTAAATTACTAAGGATGTAAAGGGAATGAAGGGAATCCATCTTCTGGCTGGGTTGACACACCTTTGAAAACAGAAGCAGGCTTTCTTCAGCTGATAATTCAAAATAGCCTTTCTGTACACTTGGGGGAGAGGGAGAATTTCAGAAGCTTGAGAAATGTGGTGCCTAGAATTTAAATTTCAAGCGGCAAAGATGAGGCGAGTCACTTCTTTCACAGGGCATGTGTGTGGATATTTAAGAGTACTTTGTACAAATGATATCAGGTGGCTTTTGTTGAATGCCTGCAACGTGGTAGGCACTCTTGGGAGGCACTCTGCCCACCAATGCCCTTAATTCTCAAAATGCCCTGGTAATGGTAAGGATTATTAGCTCCATTTCTCACATAAGGAATCTGCAGCCCAAAAGGTTAAGCGATTCTCCCAGGGTCACGCAGCCTAAATGCAACGGAGCAGAATTTGCACACGGGGCTCTTGGATGCCTTTCCCCACCAGGCCACCCTGCCTCCCCAGCAAACTGAAATGTGCCCCAGCTTTGCTGGCTTATCCTTTCCATTTCTAAGGCTCTCGCTGAAACCTGTGGATTCCCAAAGACCAGTGCAGAGCCTTCTTGATGGGGAATCTGGCCGTATGGCCAACAAGAAGCAGTTCAATGTACTGAACGTCCCAGCAACAGCTGTAGAGACAGGCAGGGACTCTCACTCCAGGCAAGAAACAGTTACTATTTTTGTCATGAAGTCTACTCCTGATAGGTGGATTTGGGTTATCTTTGCAAGGAGATGCACAGTGTATTTTAGTAAGGAAAGGAACAGAGGCACCTGGGTGACTCAGTCAGTTAAGCGTCTGCCTTCAGCTCAGGTCATGATCTCAGGGTCCTGGAATTGAGCCCCATGTTGGGCTCCCTGCTCAGCGGGGAGTCTGCTTCTCCCTCTGTTCCTCCCTCGCTCGCGTTCTCTCTCTCTCAAATAAATAAATAAAAATCTTAAAAAAAAACTTACTAATTGTCTATCCCATGGCAGATGCTGTGTTAGGACTTCCACATAAATCATTTTAGCCAATCCTCACCACAAATCCAAAGTATGATGATCACTCCCACTTTACAAACCAGAACCGAGGCTCAGAGGGAGAAAGTCAGACCCCAGCATTTCCCTGAACCACGCCGCTACTGAGGCTCACACTGCGGGAACCCTCACTTGGTTGTGACCTTGCAAGGCTCTGGGAGCAATTCTCCCAATTTCACCCACGTGACTCTGTACAAACTTCAGGCCTCACGAAGTCCAGGTCCACCCCTGCTGCTAGCATCACTCTCAAATAACTGAACTTTTAAGAGGATTAAAATCCCAACCTTCCGCTATGTTGTTGAACAAGTACCATGTTGCTTAAGCGATTGCACACAGAGATATGTTTTCAGGGTCTGGTTTTTCACACGTGGTATCCAAAATGCAGAAGGCTAAAGACATCCCATCCGAAAACTAAAGAGACAATACCACCCCCCCCACCCACTAATTCTAAGGGCCCCTCCAATTCACTAGCCATAAACTAGTGCTGGGCTGGCTTCCAAAAATGTAGGTTTCTTTAGGCCATCCCTCACCTTGGAATCCTTTGCTGACTCCTTGTTCACTGAGGCATTTCACGTCTTTTCACATTTGGCCTTTGCAGGTGCCATTCCCTCTTCCAGAACAATCTCCTCACCTCCTAGGTGAATAGGTGAATTCCTATCCCTCCTGTGGTTTCCATCATCATGGATCACCGCTTCCAGGTGCTTAGCCTGGGTGCCCTTCTCCCCAAGGTCAGTGAGGAAGCTTGTGACGGTGTTCCACATGCCCCCGTCCCCGAATGCTTGTTCCTATCACTATACCTGTCCTTCTGTAGGGCGGTCTATTTATTTACATGTCTGCATCCTTCAATGGACCGTGAACCTCTCAAAGGCAGACACTGGGCCACGCTCATCGTTATAGACCCACTGTCTTCATGTCCCCCACACGGTAGGTCTTCACCAGAGGAATTCTGTTTGGATCTCAGAGTCGGACGCTATTGGTGGAACACTTACCATTTCTTGTACCAGGCAATACACTAATTTATTTTCTTTATATATATTTTATTTCTAATTTCTTCTCTAATCCTTGTATCAGTTCTAAAGGAAACCATAAATATCCCCATTTTAGAGGAGAAAACGAAAGGTCATAAAAGTTTAGAACGTGGCCAGCCCAAGGGACATGGCTAGAAAAGGAAGAAATGAGGACTTTGGGTCCAAGTCCGGGCTTGGACTCACTACTAACGTCGTCTGAACGGTTCTCCTGAATTTCTCATTGGATTGCCAAGAACAGTCACACTTGCAGAAGTGAGACTGGGCAGGCCAGAAAGCCAGGTACAAGGCCCACAGGCTGACCAGGACCCTAGGAATTTCAAATTGGACCATCAGTTTGATTTTGGAAACCTGCGTTAACAGTTCCATGGGGTGACAGCATGGCTGGACCAGCACTATTCTCAGACCGTGGACGTGGGCCCACACCCACCTCTCCCATCTGCCAGGCTTCCTACCTGCTTCTCCTCTCAGCGCCTTCTCCAGCCTCATGCCTCGGATCTCTGAAGCCCTCTGGCGCTCCTCCACCTCCTCCAGCTGCCTCTGGATGGCCTGCAATGCCAGGATTGTGTGTCACGTGGGGACTCTTGAGGGCCAGAGTCACGTGAGGGGGCTGATTCTGCTACTTACTTTTTAAGAAGAAGAGGCCCTGTCCCTTATGATGTCCCTCCTTGGGTAAGGACCTCTGAATTCTCAGACAACTAGATCTTGATGTCTCCCTTCTTTAGTGTGAATACATAAAGCAAGGAGTCTGTCTATAAGCTCAATCTGCCCCCACATAGACATGAGGACAGTCGTCTTTGACCAGGCCAACCACACAGATGTGCCCTCAGGCAGAGGATGCTGGGCTAGGTGGGTGGTTCTCATGGCTCCCAGACTCTCTTGAACCTTGGCCTCTGACTATGGTCATGGCATACACAGAGCAGCAGCCTCTACTCAGAGTAGGATGAGGTTCTGGGGGCAAACACAGAGCACGGTCACATTCCATTTTCCCAAGAAGAGCCAGGAGATACTTCCCGAGAAGTTGGTCTGGAGCAGGAGACCCCGGGCCAACTCCCAGGGCCGGGTGTGCCTTGCTCGGCATGTCTAGCTCCCATCCTGAGCTGTAGATTGCACCTCTTCTTTCCCTGTACCACAGGGTGAACACCCAGGGGCCTCTTAATATGCAAGTGTGCAGTGGCTGTGAGTAGCAGATTATGAAGACAAGACCCTGTGAGGGACAACCTCACACCCTCCCTAGACTCAGCATCAGCACCTATTCACATTTGGGTTTGCATTTACGCTCTTAGTTTCCCTACTGGCTATTCTCTCCTGTCTGTATAAGGAAGGAAAATGAGGGGAAAGCCTCTCCCTGTATACATTCTGTTCCCCAGCAGTTTCCTCTGCTTTCAAACAGCATGCTGCCAGAAGGCGCATCTCTTGGCAGAACAGACATCGCACCTGGCTGGACAGGGACATGAAAGGAGCCGGCAGCTGTCTGGGCAGGTAGAATGTGTGTGTTCTTCCTCCTTTACCTCACTGCAGCTCTGTCTCACCCCCTCTCCTCCTTAACTCCACATCTTCTCGGTCTCCCCTGGATTCAGAGTACAATCACTGAAGTACCTCAAACCCTGTGAAGAGACGTGAGCTGGGGTCGGGCCTGAGCAGCCACCTGGCTCTCCTCAACCCAGCTAAACATAAAACCCGTCCCGGGTTTAACATACAATCTGAAATAGATGGGAATTCTATGTAACGCCACCATAATTTCATGCCCTCTCTCTCTTTTAAAGACAATTCTATTTTTATAAATCCATCCCTTGATGGCAGGACGTCAAATCACTCATGGAAGGGAAACATTTGAATGACTTTATGACTGACTGTCATGCATTTATGGCCATATGGTTGTTACAGACTGAATCGTTCCCCCCCACCACCTCAAATTCATATAGTGAAGCCCTAACTCCAATGTGACTGTATTTGGAGATAGGGCCTTTAAGGAAGTAATTAAGGTTAAATGAGATCATAAGGGTGGGCCCCCAATGCTGTGGGACTGGTGACCTGATGGGAAGAGAGACATCACTCTCTCTCCGCCTGGGCATAGAAAGAAGGCAGTGTCTACAGGCCAGGAAGAGAGGCTTTGCCAGACACCAGTCCTGAAGGCACTTTGATCTTGGGTTTCTAGCCTCCAGAACTAGGAGAAATACATTCCTGCTGTTTAAGCCACCTATTCTGTGCTATGTTGTTGTAGCAGCCGAGCAGACTAACACAGTGGTCAGTCTTCGGAAACCAAGGATGAAAATCTTGAAGACTAGAAGGGGCTAGCAGATGAGGCTTCCAAAGGCTATCAGGGTCCTTATCACCACCTGCGGTCTGGAGGGAGCACGTAAGGAGGGGGGCTGCCAGTCTGCCAATCTGTATTCTAAAGGCTTATCTCGTTCTCACAAGGCCAAGTTACAATGTTTCAAGGAAACCTGTTTCAGAAGTTGAGAGGGGACAGAGGCACTTTGTGGGGATTTTCCCTGTCTGCTAGGTGAAAGTGGTGACTCCCTTGTCAGTCACTGTGAAGGGTAAAGGAGCTTGGGTTAAGCGGCTTCCTTCCTCAACAAGACTACATGGCTAGATAAAGGGGGTAACTGCAGAAAGGAATAGAAGGGAACATTGCATGAATACAAGTGGTCACTCTAAGTCCTTCTGTCCTAAAACCTCGATATTCTTCTAGGGTAAGTCTGGGGTCCTCAGGGACGTGGAAAATGCCTTGACTTTCTGCTTCCTTTGCCTGTCTGTGACAGATGTGGGCAGACCCACTCGGGCAGAAATGTTAGAGCTAACAATCAAGACAGGGAATCTATATTGAAATATTAGATTTTTATGTTTTTGATGAACCTTGGAATACAGACAGCTCCCGATAGTTGTCAGCTCAGCAGGGACACTGGGAGGAAGTCAGGGGAAAGTTGTATCCTCACAGAGGACGAGACTAAGTCCACTGCTATGTGGCAGTCAGGGTTTGGGATGGTTCCCATGACCATGTGTTGGCCGTCATTCCAGGCTCACTTTGCAGGATACATGTTTGCAGAGGGAAAGGCAGTTGGGAGTGGGCCAGCTCAACACCTGAGCCCCTCAGGCCCCTGAGTCCCACCAGGGATTGAGTCAGGGCTTTAGAATGGCCACAGATCTGGTCATTCAGAGAAGAGAGACTGACCTTTCCCCAAGACCGCCTCCCCCAGTACAACAGAGACTTCCAAAGGGTTTTCCAATCCAATTTCCAGGTCCCAGGCCCCAGGTTCACTCATTCAAGTCAAGTTTGTTTTCTGACCTGAGCTTTATGAAGTCTTTTCAATTCTTCTTGCTTAACCAATTGTTTTGTTGCTTTCTCCAGCTTCCTTCTTCTTCTGAGTGTCTTCCTCTCCTACAAAAACCAAAAGAGAAGAAAAAATGTATCTGAGAGAAATGGGGTTGAAATCTGCAAAATAATGACAAAGGCTTCTAGTTGCTCCAACCAAACCATTGCTTAGCTTCTAGAACAATGACGTCCAATAGAACTTCCAGAGATGATGGAAATGTTCTATATCTGTGCTAAAATACGCAAGCCACTAGCCACCTATGGCTACTGGACACTTGAAATGAGCTAGCATGAATAAGAAACTGAATTTCCTGGGCTTGTAAAATCCAGAACACTCAAAATCGATGCACTGAAATCTTGATGGTGTCACTTCCAGGTTTGAAACACCAGAGAAAAGAGCAGTTACGGTGTGGCCAGATTCCCATATTGGAAAGCAGAGGAAACACTTCTGGTTGCAGAGAGAGCAGGGAATACTGGTGGAGCACTGGGCCTGGGCGCCTAGCAAAGTTGGCATCAAATTCCAGCTGAGCTGTGTGAGTTTCAGCCTGCCACACAACTTTCTGAACTTCAGAGCGATGAAAATGATTGAGTGCCTACCTTGGAGGGATGTTATAAGAATTAATTGAGAGAATGTGCGTCATGCCCTTCCTAGAATACTTGAAAAAGATATGGGATAAATACATAAATACCATGATTTTTATTATTAGTGGCATAATTATTAGATCATCATATTATTAGATTATCATATCAAATTAGCGTGATTATAATTTACTTAAATCAATTATTTTTCCTATGTTTACAGAGTAAATGTTCAAATTGAGCTAGTTTTACTATGAGTTTGTCTTCTTGGAGCATACTCATCCACTTTCTACATATTAGGTTAAAGATTAGAGCATGCTAGAGATTTCTTTCTAATGCTGGCAGAAACAAATATGGAATTAAAAATTTGTTACAGCTAGCTTGGTGCCTGGGCATTCAGTATCTGTGGTTGAACTGGATGTTTGCCCATTAAAGGGAGTATAAATCCACAAGGGAAGAATGGACCTAATAGGCGTACCCCAGATACTGCCAGAGGAATCCAGGTCCATGACGGAGGTCAGAGATTATGCCTGAAAAGCGCCTACATTTGCACGGCCTCGTGGATTCTGGTCATTCAGTCACCCATTCCATGGATACGTATGGGGAGACCATCATGCTCCTCAGCAAAGCAGCCAGTTTTGAGGCCTCAGAATGTCTACAGATTGTCAGTGAAAACATTTATCTTGATGAAATTTCATTTTTCTAGAATTCTCCTTAGGATCTAGAATCATAAAGATCTTTTTCATCCTTGGAAGGAAATTCTAGCTCTCAGAACTGAAACTTATTCCATATCATATCATCTCTATTTCTAGGCGATAACTTCCAGATTGACTGTCAACCACTCTGAACAGAGGGCCTGGGCCATTTGGGGTGGGGGTGGAGCCCCACCATTAGGCAGTCTGAATCTTTCTGGAAATGTTAGGGCAGAGGGGCATGGTGGAGATCACTCATAGTTGTTGCCCAGAGACTGTCTAACTCGATCTATACACAGACTCACAAATATCTCTTGAGCTTCCACTATATTAATTTATATAATAACTCCCAGCACATCCTGAGTGCTATATGGCAGATATTACACTGATTACTTCACATGTATCAGCTCATTTATTCCTCAAATTACACTTGCATTATGGATACAAGGCAATCAAATCTTGGACCAAAACAACTTGCCCAAGATGGCCCAATTAGTCATTGGCAGAGCCAGGAGTTAAGCTCAGGTCACCTGAATCCAGCATCCACATTTTCAGCTGGTCCTCACGGCCTTTCCTATGCCAAATACTGCACAGGCACATCAAGGACCCCTGCCTTATAGAAATGTCAAGGTTTCCTCCTAAATTAAGGCCATTTAATATAATTTCAAGAGGAGGGGTGTGCCTTGACAGCATCACACCATCTTAATACGTCTAAGCAGCAGAGCTGCCAAACCCTTCCTGTTTTATCAAGAGTCAGCAAACCAGAACCTGGAGGAGGAAAGAAAGTCACTATTGCCTTTTATTAGAAGATGTTGATACAGAAAAGAAGGGTGATTTGTTCACAAATGCTCATCCAGTCTTATGATGAGCCAGGCACGGTCCTTATAGGCTCAATAGTGGCAATGCCAGCACAGAGAGGCAAGGAGAGAGGCTCGGGGCGAGGAAGGAAAAGATGAAGGACAGAGAAAGGGAGAGGTCTGGCAGGACCCTGGACGAGTGCCTGCCCCAGTCTCCCAGGTCCAGGCCTGGCTTTGGGAAGGGAGGGGTGGGGAGGGCTGAAGTCAAGGGGAGGGGTGGAGTGTTCACATCCTGTCTCGGGTTTCCTGCGCAAAGGTTCATTTGAACTGATGTGGGCTCTGTGCCAAAGGGCTGGGGACACACCTGTATGGGACAGAAGAGATAAAGAAACCAGAGGGGGGAAAAACCCTTGTTCCTTCAGGGTGGGCCCTTGGGAAGTAGTAAAGAAAGAACTTTTGGCCAGCTTCCCTTCCTGTAAGAGTGGTCAGAGGCCAGGTGAAGCAGGCAAGCTTTTCCACACTGCAAGCTTAAGTGCTGACAGGCTCTGTTCTGGGCCAGCAGGAGGACAAGGAGCTACTTGCAAGGCTTGCCCTCGATCTCATGGTCTTGCTATTTGATGTGTTTGGGCCATTCCTTCTCTTATTCCCCGTGAGTGTTGGAATGGCTGTTAGAAGGGCTGATGAATGTCTGTATTCATTTGAATACAGACTTAACTCAAGGTCACTTAAGGGGCTGAGAGGGACAGGAACAAAACCCCAGGAACCAACATAACACACCAAATTCATTTGTGTTGAGTACTGAACTAATCAGAGATGCCCACAGTCAGAAATGAGAAACGCATACATATTCTCTTTCATTTGCATTCCCTCCCTCTCTCCCTGTCTCTCCCTTCCCCCCTACACACACACACACACACACACACACACACACACACACACACACACTCTCTCTCTCTCATGCTATGTCCCAGCCCCCTCCTGACTTGCTCTAAGCTGGGTCGTGGGGAGATAGAACCCCCGAGTGACTTGAGATGACACCAAATTTCCCAATGCCAGCTATGGAAAAGTTGAGTCTAAGTAAATAAATTTGGTTCTCTCCCTTTCTCCTCAGGTCCTCACTGCTCCAAAAAATAAACACTGTTAGCACAGTGAACTCCTTGTCTGTTCTCCTGGGAAGCATTTTAGGTCCAACCATTCATCCCTCAGTCCCAGTGAAAATGCTCCAGCCCCAGTGGATCAAGAAAACAACAGTGAGGTTTGGTTGTGGGATGTGTCTTCATGTATGTGACACATAGACGCATTTAAAGATGTACACCAATGTTTGCATTTTTAAAATCTATGGGTATGGGAGTTGTTTGAAGTGTTTTCCAGAAATACGTTCATGAGGCAAAGAGAACTGCCATCCCCCTAGCCAGCACGCAGCTAGTCCCTTCCACAGCAGGGACTCTTGGAGTGTCCATGTCTAGATGCAACTGCATGGTTCATTTCATATTTCTGATTAGAATAAACATAACATTTTCCATGCAATCTGCCTCTAGTGCTTCTTAAATGAAGCTGTGTTTCCCCCAGGGAAATATGCATCTGCTTATTGTAATTTTTTCGATGGCTTGCTTGTTGGACCACATATTAAACCCACTTTAAGAGCTACAGTCACCAAATGATTTTAAGTAAATATGTCTGTTTTTTTTTTTTTCTGCCAGTTGGAGTCTCTGAGAAAGGCAAGCTTCTAAAAGTTAAAAAAAAAACAATCATTCTTGGGGTGTTCCAGGTAAAAAAGCGAGTGCTGTCAGATGCAATGAAACACGCTCCTCCTAACGAAAAACCACTGCCACCGTAGTCCACATCGGGTCTGAAACCTGGATAGTAAACGGCCCCCGCAAGCAAGGCCCTCTTTGGTTGGCCAAGTGTTGTTACCTTTGACCGTAAAGAAGGCTGGGGATGAAAATCTTCATCTGCAGAGGAGGGGCTGGTGGAGGAGGTAGAGGAGGCGGCCCCTGGCACCTGCACTCGGATAGGGATGTGTTTGGGACCTGAAATGGGAACAGAAGAACTCACTGAAATCCCAGCTTCTTTTCCTGCCTCACGATCCAAAGCTGCCTCTCCCTCCACCCTTCTTACCGCATTCCCTTCCTCCCTGCCCTTCCCTCGCTGCACCTGCCATGAGCAGGAGGAGACAGAACCTAAGGGCAACTGAAAATTTGGCCCTCCACGTTAATTACATTTCTGGGTCCCTGCCAAGGGCTTTGCAGCTCTCCTTTCATATTAAAAAAAAAGGCATTATGCAGAAATCAATTAATTCCTTAAATACCATTTATATGGTGTGTTGCCTAGAACGCATTCAGAGATGAAATCTATTATTAAAATGCTTGTCTGAAGTTAGCTGAGTTACCTAAACGCTCGTGTAAGATTCGTTCTGCAGAGTAATTGAATGCAAGAAAGTCAGAGCCAGCTCTTAAACAAATCGCCCTTCTGTGGCTCACAGCATCTGGCACCCATTTTTACTACATGACATCTGCTCAGTATAAAAGAGCTGGCGTCAGAATGTCTGGTCATAGAAAAAAAAAATCCCAAATGTAATCAGAAGCAAAAGGACTCTAAGCCTAAGGTTTTATCACATAGTCTCATGCAACATAAATATTTCATTAATTATGGCTAAACAAATGCCACTTTTATTTTCCCAACTTGCAGATATTATCACATCATCGAAGTGATGATTCAAATGCCAGGAAAGGCAGTTGAAGATAGGGAGGGCTCAACAATGCAGGGCCCAGGGGAGAGCCGAAGTCCAGGAGATCTGCCAACCTCTGAACAAGAGGTAGATGGTTAGAGGCGGCCAAGGGCCCGTGTTCACTAGAATCTCTTTGTGATCTAGCTGGGGACCGTGTGTGGTAAAGTCCTCCAGGTGCCACAGGAGGCTTTTATTCTTCTCAGCAAGAACATCTGCCCCTGCACATCATCCTGATGCAGAGTTAATGAGTAATGTCTGGATGAACCCACGCTGGATGCTGACTATCACAACCTGTGAGGACCCCATGAGAGGAAATGTACGAATCGTTGCTCTGCCGTGGCAGCCTATATCCAAAGAGGAATATGTGTGGGGTGGGGAGGGGGACGGAGAAGCAATTCCATGTGACTCACATTCCCTCCAGCCTGCCTTTTCCTCCCCGTAATTTCCAACGATTTACCCCAGTGGGAGAGGCCAAGTTTTAGAAAATAAGGGTAATTTCAACCTCCGGGAGCACATTTACATATGCTGTTATTCAAAGCAAAATAATGCAGAACATCTATATAATAGCACAGCCTCCCTGGGGAAGGAGTTAACTGTTTGCCACTACAATTTGCCAGATGGGGAAGCTCAGGTGAAGAGAGCATCAGAGGGCAGCATAGTAATGGAAGGAGGCACCATTGGTGGTGAGCTCAGATTGTCCTCCAACTCTGGCTACTAGGTTACTATGGAGGAATGTAGTCATGGAGTATTCACTTCCTAGTGTGTGAGCCTGAGGAACTAACTTCACCTCCCTGAGTTTCTGGAGCTCACAACTTCTAACTTGCAGCACTGTAGTAGAAGAGCAAAGGTAATCGCTGGAAAGAGCCTGACACGGTGCCTGGTTCATTGGAGATGCCTAAATAAATCTCGTTGTCATCAGCCGCAGCAGCAGCAACTGCCTCATCGTTAACATTGATCCAAATCAACAATACAGCAATATTAACAACACTGCCTAATTAACCTTCATTGTACAGAAGTAGAATAACCTAAAGTAGAAACTTCCAAAAATGAATATAATAGTTCCACTGCATCTTATTTTGAAATCGAGAAGAAAATATTTCCGAATATAAGGCATTTCCTAAACTTCTGGCAAACGTTATATATAGTTACTTCTGAATCTCTTCCCCTTTACTCTCTTCCACCACAGAACCACCAATTCCAGAAATTTACTTTTCAGTTGCAAAGTTAAAAAAACCTTGGCAGCATTGTTCCACCCTGGCTATAATGGAGTGACTGATTCTGGGATTGATATCCCACCACAAAGCACTAGAAATCAGGACAAAATCCACGAAGCAGCTGTTTCCAGACATTGGACAACAGGCAGTGCAGAACTGTGATAAATGTAAGAACAGAAGCAAATGAAGCCCTACAATCACACTAGCTTCCTCCCTAGAGGCACTTTCCAGGCCACAGTGCAGGTAGGAAGAACCTAAACAATATAGCATGTTCGTTGAGTTGAAAAGACAGGAATCGAGTTTGAGTGAGTGGAGGCAGCTGGAATGTGTCGGGGGGGGGGGGTAGAGGACAGAGCTATGCAGAAAAAGCACATCAGGAATAAGCACAGAAGTCCCCCTGAGTCTATTGCTTAATAGTAAACTTTAGATTCATAGAGAGAAATTGCATGAGGTTGGGCCAGTGACTGTTGGAAAATTACAGGGCAAATAGCCTCTAAAGCTTTTTACAGTATTGGGAAATACTCAAGTTCCACCCAGCTTGGGTAGAACAAACTTTGGGGGCATTAGAATAGAGGCCACAGAAGAGTCATACTTTAGTAATAGGGATAAATTAGCCATAGGGTAAAGGTTATTATAAACTGCCCCAAATAAGCTTAAAAACAAACTTGAAAGAAACAAATTGATCTTCAAATCACACTACTGTCTGCCAAACATTTTTACTGTTTATATAACATTCTTTAAATGAAGAAACAAAGTCTAGACACCCTACAATGTAATCGTCACCAAACCTAGCAGCCAGAAAGCAATTACTAGATTGCAAAAGAGCAGGACAACGAGCTCATCATCAAGAGAAAAATCAGTTAATAAAAGCAGGCTCAAAGATAATGGGATTAGCAGACAAGGATTTAAAAATAACTATTATAAATGTGCTCAGGAATTTAAAAAGACAGCATGAACAGAATGAGGAGGTAAAAAATATAGAAAAAGAACCAAATGGAACCTATAAATATGGAAAATACAAAATCTGAAATGAAACTTTCACTGGATCAGCTTAATAGTAGATTAAGCATTGCAGAGGAAAATAGCCTGTGTAATTAAGTAACAACAATAGAGATTATCCAAAATGAAACACGGAGGGAAAAAAAGACTGAAAAACTGAATAGAACTTCAGTGATCTGTGACATAATATGAGGTGGTCTAAAATATGTATGATTGGCGTGCTGGAAGGAGATGGCGGGAGATAGAAAAAGTCATTTATGTAATATTGTTGAAAATCACACAAATTTAATGAAAATTGTAAGTTCCAAGAAGTTCAATAAACCAGAAGCAGGGTAAACATAAAGAAAATCATAGCAAGCCTCACAATAATAAATTTACTGAAAACCAGAGATAGAGACAAAATCTTAAAAGCAGACGAAGAAAAATGATATATTACATACAGAGAAACAAAGATAAGAATGTCTATGGACAACTCATCAGAACTTAAATAAGCTAAGAGATAATGAAACATCATTAAAATGCTGAAAGAAAAGTCTGTGAGTTTATAATTCTATATCCAGTGAAATGATCCATTCAAAATGAAGAAAAAATAAAGGCTTTAGGATAATTTGTTGTTAGCAGACATACATAAGAAAAATGTCAAAAGAAGTTCTGTAGCAGAAGGAATATAACACATGGAGTGAAGAGCTCCAGAAATAGTAAATATAAAATAATTTCCCTTTTGGTTTTTAACTTCTTTAAAAGATAATCAACTAGTGGAAAGAGCCAAGATGTCCATCGACAGATGAATGGATAAAGAAGATGTGGTATATATACACAATGGAATATTATGCAGCCATCAAAAGGAATGAGATCTTGCCATTTGCAATGATGTGGATGGAACTGGAGGGTGTTATGCTGAGTGAAATAAGTCAATCAGAGAAAGACATGTATCATATGACCTCACTGATATGAGGAATTCTTAATCTCAGGAAACAAACAGAGGGTTGCTGGAGTGGTGGGGGGTGGGAGGGATGGGGTGGCTGGGTGACAGACATTGGGGAGGGTATGTGCTATGGTGAGCGCTGTGAATTGTGTAAGACTGTTGAATCACGGATCTGTACTTCTGAAACAAATAATGCAATATATGTTAAGGAAAAAAAAGAAGAAGATAGCAGGAGGGGAAGAATGAAGGGGAGTAAGTCGGAGGGGGAGACGAACCATTAGAGACGATGGACACTGAAAAACAAACTGAGGGTTCTAGAGGGGAGGGGGTGGGGGGATGGGTTAGCCTGGTGATGGGTATTAAAGAGGGCACATTCTGCGTGGAGCACTGGGTGTTATGCACAAACAATGAATCATGGAACACTACATCAAAAACTAATGATGTAATATATGGTGATTAACATAACAATAAAAATTATTTAAAAAAAGATAATCAACTATTTAATGCAGGATAGTGTGAAATAATAAGAAATATATAATTTGGTCTCTGTCCCCAATTCCCACCAATATTTGGTCTTTGACTCCAATTCCTGACACAGAGCTCCTGAAACACTTGTCATTCTGAGTGAAGAGTTCCCAAGTCCCTTGAAACTTCCCATGATAGGAGCACCTTTTGTTCTAATGAAGTGACTCTTGGTGAGTTCCTGGAAGATGGCTGGTCATTAGAGAGACCAAGCTGTGACTAGAAAATCTCAAAATCATTAGAAATTAAGCAATATTTTTCTGAGAACCAATGGATAAAGGACAAAATAAAAGTAAATTGAAGCTGATGGGATAAACATATGGCATAACAGGGGCACCTGGGTGGCTCAGTCGTTAAGCGTCTGCCTTGGGCTCAGGTCATGATCCCAGGGTCCTGGGATCGAGCCCCGCATCAGGCTCCCTGCTCAGCAGGAAGCCTGCTTTTCCCTCTCCCACTCCTCCCGCTTGTGTTCCCTCTCTCACTGTCTCTCTCTCTCTCTGTCAAATAAATAAATAAAATCTTTTTTTTAAAAAAAGAATATGGCATAACAACATAACTAGGATGTAGCTAAAGTAGTGATTTGAGGGAAATTTAGAGCTTTCAGTGTACACACTGTGCAAAAGAAAAGTTGAGAATTAATGC